GTCGAAACTCACCGGTGCCCTACAGATTTTAAGACTCCAAAAAATTAGAAAAAAATACATAAAAAATAGGGGGACAATGATGGTCGCCGCCATTTTTCGTATTTTTCAGCCATCATATATGTCAAATGATGCCACAGGAGGAAGTGGTGCAGAATTCCCACCGTGTATACTACTGTTTCAAGATAATTTGCTGTGCTTTTATTGTTTTCATGTGTCAGTATTTTTATTAGCAGATTTTTATGTTTTTGGACAATTGTTTGCTTTGACTTTGATTTTTCTTTGATAAGCAATAGAACATATAGTCGGTCTAGTTTTATTGATGAAATTCAAATCTTTCATTGTTCAAAATTATAATTTTGCTGATATTCAGGAATTTGACGATTACTATTGATAAAAAAGTTACAGTTGTTATTTATCTAATATCTGTAAAAAAACATACCGAAACAGTAGACACTAAGAAAGGAACGATTGATAGAATAAGTGCTAACTTTTTTCAATAATTTTATATGAAAATACCTGCTCAATGTGTTCAGCTATTGACATGTCTACATCATTGAGGTTCCTCGGTAAATGTGTATCACCAGATTTTCTAAACTCCTCCGCTAGGAGCGCCGCATGAACGGCTGTTGCTCAAGAGCTGTTTCACCTTGTTACCACATCATTTTTCAATTAGTGGCTTGTGTTGTATCCGAGTGGGAACAAACACTATCTTCTTTGACAATGAACTTTAAGTGTCCTGAAACATCTCAAATACAATGGACACGCGTCGGTAGCTCCGTCCTGCAACCGGGCCACGTACATTCCGGGGTATCACATTCGGAACTTCCACTACCAAACTTAGCAAGCATGATCGCAACTAAGCGTCCGTAAACTGACGACGATTTGACCAGTTACAACAGTTTGGAAGGTTAAAAAGTACCCCTGCAAAATAGCGATGGCTTTCGGGGTTTTCAGAAAGTAATTTACTATCCGCCTACAGATGCTAAGGTCCCGGCTGGCTATAGGACACCTTAAGAGCCTTCTCTTAGGCGAGACTGGGCAAAACACTTCACGTGTGTCAAAGTTGCTTGTTGCTACAATGTTGGCAGCATTGACAGTTGTCACAGCGTCTCCCACACCTTCACTATCATGTTGGCAGCATTGTCAGTTGTCACAGGGTCTCCCCACACCTTCACTGTCATGTTGCCAGCGTTGTCAGTTGTCACATCGTCTTCCCGCACCACCACTATCATGTTTGCAGCATTGTCAGTTGTCACAGCGTCTCCCGAATCCTTCACTATCATGTTGGCAGCAGTGTCAGTTATCACAGCGTCCCCCACACCTTCACTATCATATTGGCAGCATTGTCAGAGCGTCTTCCAACACCTTCACTATCATGTTGGCAGCATTGTCAGTTGTCACAACATCTCCCACACCTTCACTATCATGTTGGCAGCATTGTCAGTTGTCACAGGGTCTCCCCACACCTTCACTGTCATGTTGCCAGCGTTGTCAGTTGTCACATCGTCTTCCCGCACCATCACTATCATGTTGGCAGCATTGTCAGTTGTCACAGCGTCTCCCGAATCCTTCACTATCATGTTGGCAGCAGTGTCAGTTGTCACAGCGTCCCCCACACCTTCACTATCATGTTGGCAGCATTGTCAGTTGTCACAGCGTCTTCCAACACCTTCACTACCATGTTGTCAACGTTGTCAGTTGTCCAAGCGTCTTCCCGTACCATCACTACCATGTTGTCAACGTTGTCAGTTGTCCAAGCGTCTTCCCGCACCACCACTACCATGTTGTCAACGTTGTCAGTTGTCACGGCGTCTTCCCGCGCCATCACTAACATGCTTGCAGCGTTGGCAGTTGTACTAGCATCTTCCCACACCTCCAGTGCCATGGAGGCAGCGTTGTCAGTTGTCACAGCGTCTTCCCACACCATCACTATCATGTTGTCAGTTGTCAGTTGTCTTCTTCCCGCACCATCACTACCATGTTGCCAGCGTTGTCAGTTGTCACAGCGTCTTCCCGCACCATCACTACCATGTTGCCAGCATTGTCAGTTGTCACAGCGTCTTCCCACACCATCACTATCATGTTGTCAGCGTTGTCAGTTGTCACAGCGTCTTCCCGCACCATCACTACCATGTTGCCAGCGTTGTCAGTTGTCACAGCGTCTTCCCGCACCATCACTACCATGTTGCCAGCATTGTCAGTTGTCACAGCGTCTTCCCACACCATCACTACCATGTTGCCAGCATTGTCAGTTGTCACAGCGTCTTCCCACACCATCACTACCATGTTGCCAGCATTGTCAGTTGTCACAGCGTCTTCCCACACCATCACTACCATGTTGCCAGCATTGTCAGTTGTCACAGCGTCTTTCCCACACCATCACTACCATGTTGCCAGCATTGTCAGTTGTCACAGCGTCTTCCCACACCATCACTACCATGTTGCCAGCGTTGTCAGTTGTCACAGCGTCTTCCCGCACCATCACTACCATGTTGCCAGCATTGTCAGTTGTCACAGCGTCTTCCCGTACCATCACTACCATGTTGCCAGCATTGTCAGTTGTCACAGCGTCTTCCCACACCATCACTACCATGTTGTCAGCGTTGTCAGTTGTCACAGCGTCTTCCCACACCATCACTACCATGTTGCCAGCGTTGTCAGTTGTCACAGCGTCTTCCCGCACCATCACTACCATGTTGCCAGCATTGTCAGTTGTCACAGCGTCTTCCCGTACCATCACTACCATGTTGCCAGCATTGTCAGTTGTCACAGCGTCTTCCCACACCATCACTACCATGTTGCCAGCATTGTCAGTTGTCACAGCGTCTTCCCGCACCATCATTACCATGTTGCCAGCGTTGTCAGTTGTCACAGCGTCTTCCCGCACCATCACTACCATATTGCCAGCATTGTCAGTTGTCACAGCGTCTTCCCGCACCATCACTACCATGTTGCCAGCATTGTCAGTTGTCACAGCGTCTTCCCGCACCATCACTACCATATTGCCAGCATTGTCAGTTGTCACAGCGTCTTCCCAACATCATCACCATGTTGCCATTGTTGTCAGTTGTCACAGCGTCTTCCCGCACCATCACTACCATGTTGCCAGCATTGTCAGTTGTCACAGCGTCTTCCCACAACATCACTACCATGTTGCCAGCATTGTCAGTTGTCACAGCGTCTTCCCGCACCATCACTACCATGTTGCCAGCATTGTCAGTTGTCACAGCGTCTTCCCGCACCTTCACTATCATGTTGGCAGCGTTGTCAGTTGTCCCAGAGTCTTCCCGTACCATCACTACCATGTTGCCAGCGTTGTCAGTTGTCACAGCGTCTTCCCGCACCATCACTACCATATTGCCAGCATTGTCAGTTGTCACAGCAGCTTACCCCGGTGTGACTGTCGGTCGTTGTTCGTGTTTGGAGGACAGACTTGCGTAAGTGCCATTCCTTATTAAGGAAATGTGCTGTGAAAGTAACAAATGATTCATTTGAGCTCGACGTCCACCCATCAGTTGTTAGCCCAACACACATGGCACCATCCATCAATGTGATAAGGGATGATTTTACGTCAAATGTTACGAGAAATGTTGCTGTGACGGGAGTTTATATTTTGTAAAGTTCTGATCAAATGAACAAAATCTTCACTTTGGACAACGGAATATGGTTATGAGTTTGGCAGTTGTGTCCGTAATGTCGGTGGTTTTTGGTTCATCAAGTTTCGTATTCACACACGAGAAAGGCGGTTTTGACGCTGATTGAATTGTACCTGCTTTTGATTTACACGATGCGTTAGCGCGAACATTTGGAATGTCTAAACTTTTTACAGCGTCCGGATGGTGTCTAAAGAGATGAGAGTGAAGATTTGTTGTATTTCCGCTGTATTTCAGGTGAGACTTACAGATCTTGGATACAACGTACTTTCGCTAGGTAAATATGTTTCCGTCTTCACATTGTTGACCCTCAAATCCAAACTCTGACCAAACTCGACCTTTGAAATATGGTGTATGGCTACATGCTAGTTGTAAATGTAAATCTGTGATGGACTAGGTATGCTGTCCTTTGACGACATGAATTTATGTCGCCTCAGGTTGTTTTTATTAATAGACATTTCTCATAGAAATGCTGCCGATATGACTTTAAATTATAGCTCACTCACCCACTTTTAAGATGAGACATCATTTTTGCTACAAAGTTCGATAGTTATTCCTGTGTGGGTAGTTGTACAGTAAATATGACACTGCCGACAGTTTTCATGAGCGGATATCTGATGACGTTTCTAGTGTTTGGATATCCAGGTGATCTTCAATACTATAATACTATTTCCGGGTGATTACAATATCTTGGACCCGGACTCCATCCATTCTCCGAACAATTGCTAAAATAAAATGTAATCGTGCTGGTTAGAATTGATCATTCGGGACCAAGTGGGCAGACAAGCTGACTTGTTTGACACATATCATCGTAGCCCAAATGATATGCTCATGCTGTTAATCACTGGATTGTCCTGGTCCAGTCTTTATGCTTAGAGACGCCATATAGCTGAACAATTGCTATGTGTTACGTTTAAAAAAACAACAACACAAAAACAAAAACAAAACAAACTACACTCAAGACTGGTTATCTTGATTCTAAATGGCAGGGGGCGGTGGGGTAGCCTAGTGGTTAAAGCGTTGGCTCGTCACGCCGAAGACCCGGGTTCGAATCCCCAAAGGGGAACAATGTTGGAAGCCCATTTCTGGTGTCCCCCGCCGTGATGTTGCTGGAATATTGCTAAAAGCGGCGTAAAACCAAACTCAGTCAGTCAGTCAGTCTAAATGGCTGTGAGTGAGTGAGTGAGTAACATAACGGCGGAGAACAAAGTTGTACCAACGTTTTGGGAATCGAACCTGGGCCTTTGCCGTGACGAACGAACGCTTTAATCACTAAACTTTCCTCAACACTAACGACGTGTTTGGTTCCGTATATATCGTCAGTTTTCCTTTTCAGTGAGCAGGGGAATGTCTGGCTTAAAGCGAGCTGGTCAGCACTGTCCGGGAGCAAGGCTGGAGTGTGTGGATGTGGAGAAAGACACTGGCCGAAGGGACAGCCTTATCGCTGAACATGACCTTGTTGTGAGGTAGGTCAGGTTGTCCATCTAAATACAAACCACCAAATAGAGTGACTCGAACAAGCTATAGTTGTCAAACAACCCTTAAAAGACAGCAGGAGGCTCATATATATGGCGTATATCGTACGATAAGACCACATGCTTTAAAGTGTGTGTGATTAAAGTAGTTTTAGGTTTTAGGTTTTCTAGTTCGGACTAATACCGGTTTTAAAATGCACTGAGATACCGTACCGCAGATTAACACAAATACCCATTTAGAAAAACAAGTATATTGACAACGCGAGCCAGACTGGGTAACATCAAGAAGCATATTTTGATTTGGTGTGGAGCGGCCACGAATCGACCATCGGGCTGGCGATCGATATAGATCATAGAGATCTATAATTGTTAACAATATATCAATCGATTATCGATAAATACCGGACACGTAACTTTCAGCAAAAATGTCAAAAATGTCTGAAAGAAATGAATATATACATCCGTGCATAAATTAAGCACCACCCTAAATTTTTACCAATTAATTTTGTCTGAAATGAAATTCTAAACTTTTTCCGAAAAATAACCTTTATAATTTGATAGAGCAAGCATTTAACATTTCAAAAACGGAAACATCATTGAAATTACAATGTACTTTCATTAGGATAATTGCCTATGTTTACAACAGGTGTTTTTCTGTCCTAAAACAAGTTACCATATTTTGAAAAGTGAAATTTCAATTGATTGTTATGTGGCCTATAAATTGGTTATCTATTTTGAATGGATGAAAGTTGGTAAACTAAGATTTAAGAAAAGTAACAGTCAAGCTATAAAAAAGTTAAATTGTAAAAGGCAGTAAAAGTTGCTTCACAAACAAAACAAAATGATTTTAGCTGTAATTATCAGTATCCGGCAAGGAGAAGTGTTTTTTCAATAAAATAAGCTCAAAATCATAACAGATTTATTCCAAAATCTTATTAATGTGGCCTTTTTCAGTTTTTGTCAATGAGCAATCTGAATTGTTGGAAAAAGGTCTGAATCTTTGACATTCGGTTTTTTCCTGATTATCTATAATTAAAACTTACTTCATGTGTAAATGTCATCTTGGTATATAACAGAATTGTTATTTTTGGTCAAAACTTAATTTAATTGTGTAGTTTCAGCAGAAGAGGGATAGTTATTTTGAGTAAAACTTCAGACCCATCACATTTTCATTAGCATATTCTTTGATAATGAATAGAAAAAGTTATGGTATTGTTAAAACTGCCAAAGGATAAAGCTTCTTTAGCTCTAGGTTGATTAAATTGATGGCTATACCCTAACTTTTCTGTAGCATCACATTTTATTTTCAAAATTGGGTGGTGCTTAATTAATGTACGGGGAGTGGTGACATGGGTTATTTACATGGGTTACATGGGTTATTTACAAAACACAATTTAGAAGTAGACCATAAATAAAGTCCCAAACCTGTATATTGTATGAGTAAACTAAAAGTTTTATCGATCACAAAATTAAATCTACGATATTATCGATACCACAACCTCATATCGATAATCACTAATACCTTATTCATATCGACAATATGGCACGTTCACGTGTGTAGGAATATACTGCATTCTACCACACAGACAAACGAATACCAATGATTCGTCAGAAGAACAAAAGAATTCCAAAGAAGTACAAAAAGATTCCTTGCATTCTTCTCAGCAGTCAAGTACAGGCAACTCGTGACACATGTTAACAAAAGATGCAGGCGACGTGACGCTATTTCCGCACAACGCACCTGTCTGTTTGTGACCAGTGTCTGTATGTTTCAGCTGTCTACCGCAGAACCTAGTTCATGGTGTGGTCCTGGCATGTCTAGCCAAGAAGACAAACCTCGTGGCCGTCAACTACTGTCTCCCAGAACAGAAGCAACTGCATCAACAGTAAATACTTTTATAATAATTCCAGTTGTTATCTTGATGCCAATTAACACCAAATAGTTTTATGACAAGATCACGTCTTCTCCTGATACAGACTAACACTAAATAGTGTTATGGTAATTCCAGTTGTTATCTTTATACTAACACTAAATAGTGTTCTGATAATTCCAGTTGTTTTCTTTATACTAACTCTAAATAGTGTTATGATAATTCCAATTCCAGATGTTATCTTTATACTAACACTAAATAGTGTTATGATAATTCCAGTTGTTATCTCTATACTAACACTAAATAGTGTTATGATAATTCCAGTTTTTTTCATTATACTAACACTAAATAGTGTTATGATAATTCCAGTTGTTATCTTTATACTAACACTAAATAGTGTTATGATAATTCCAGTTGTTATCTCTATACTAACACTAAATAGTGTTATGATAATTCCAGTTTTTTTCATTATACTAACACTAAATAGCTTTATGAATATTCCAGTTGCTATCTTTATACTAACACTAAATAGTGTTATGATAATTCCAGTTGTTATCTTGATGCCAATTAACACTCAATAGTTTTATGATAATTCCAGTTCTTATCTTGATACCAGTAAGCACTGAATAGTTTTATGATAATTCCTTTTTTTTTTTATACCAGTTAACACTAAATAGTTTTATGATAATTCCATTTTTTTTAATTCCAGTTAACACTGAATAGTTTTATGATAATGCCAGGTGTTCTCTTGATACTACTGAACAGTAACTAGTTTTATGATTAGGCTATTTACGTTAATAGATCACGTTGTCTGTTTTATTAACACCCGAATAACCTTAGGTACTATTCCCGCCGAAATAGTGATTAAATGCCCATAGGACAAATTTGGAATGATTTCAGGATAAGAAACATTACAGGGAAATGATAGATTAAAACAACGCTTGATATTTATTTTTTGAATAAATAGGCGTACAGAACCCAAAGAAACGAAGTGAAGATTTTGGAATTTTGCGCTAAAGAATATTTAGATTCAATCTTCGATGAACTGAAAAATGCATTTCTACTTTTAACAAAGTATATGTGATGTTCGTAAGGTAGGTTAGTTACACAGGAGCACAACACGAACAATTACAACAGTTACAATTAGCAGCTGCGCGAACTGTAGCTGGTCTACGGAAAGACTGGCCAGGCTAAGATGAGCTCTACCAGACCGCATCCCCAGCCCCAGCCCCACCCTTCCTAGACTGTAGGTACACCTGCACTCATAGTCCTCATGTCTTTAATTCCATGATATGAGTGGTGGGGTAGCCCAGTGGTTAGTGCGTTCGCTCGTCACGCCAAAGACACATGGGTACAATGTGTGAAGCCCATTTCCGATGTCCCGAGAGAATATATAGAATATTGCTAAAAGCGGCGTTAAACTAACCTCGCTCACTCACTCACTCGGTGATGGGTCATGGTCATGGCTAGGTGTGTGTTGAAAGCTGTAGTACCTATGTGATGACGTCGCTTGTTTCAGAGTTGTCGACGCTGACCTGATCTTCTTTCTGGACATTGGTCTGCGTCCTGGGCTGGACCACATGGCGGCCAAACAAGCGATAGACGACATAAAAAGCAGAGGAGGCGAGGTGGGACGATATTCACTGGGTCTGGTGGTTATATAGTCTAATGGTTAAAGGTTTCACTCGTCACACCAGAGTGGCTGGCTAGCCTAGTGGTGAAAGCGTTTGCTCGTCAAGCCGAAGAGCGGGTTCGATTCCTTTCATTTGTACAATGTGTGAAACCCTTTCCTGATGTCACAGGAATATTGCTTAAAGCGGTGTAAAACATACTTACTCACTCACTCGTCATTTGAAGAGCGAGTTCGATTCCTTTCATGGGTGCAAGATGTTGGGACCGTTTCTGGTCTCACCCGTCCTGGTTTAGTTGGAATATTGCTAAAGAACAATCATATTCCTTCTCAGTCTGGTGATATTAACCTGGGCAAGGAGACTGCAGGTGCTGTATTTTAGTGTGCCTCAGTAGTCTCGTCAGAGGAAACTGGAAATAAGAAATATTTTGTTTCCTTCAGATAACATCGTATCAGCTGTACACAGGTGCTCTTCCGACTCCAGAATCCGCGACCAATCCTCTCAAGTACAAGTTCAGGTTCGTCGACTACCACACTACCACCAATACCACCACCGCCGCTACTGCTACTACTACTACTACCACTACTACTACTACTGCTGCTGCTGCTACTACTACTACTACTACTACTGCTGCTGCTACTACTACTACTACTGCTGCCACTACTACTACTACTGCTACTACTACTACTACTGCTGCTACTACTACTACTACTGCTACTACTACTACTGCTACTACTACTACTAGTAATCTAATCTAATCATTTTGTATAGCGCTGAAAGGTTCCAGGTATACTGTTCACTGGCGCTTCACATGTTCACAGTATGCACACAGTATGCACACAGTATATACACAGTAAGCACACAGTATATACACAGTATGCACACAGTATATACACAGTATGCACACAGTATATACACAGTATGCACACAGTATATACACAGTATGCACACAGTATATACACAGTGCCTCTTGGTTTAACAGTCATAGGCAATTTTTAAGAGATGGGTTTTTAAGCTTGTCCCGAATGATGATGGTGTTTCTGATAGCTTGATGTTGTCTGGAAGAGCATTCCGCATAGATGCTGCTGCGCGTCTGAAGCTGCTTTCGCCCATAGCTGTTTTACAGTGAGGCTTTTGGAGAGGGTCCTTGTCTTGGGAACGCAGTGTCCGGCTTGGTGAGTGAGGCTGAACAAGAAGGAGCAGAGTCTGTCTTGAGGCATTGGAAGGTGTGGAATAGGATTTGGAACTTGATTCTGCTGGCAACTGGTAGCCAATGGAGTTGTTTGAGAACAGGAGAGAAATGTTGGTGCTTAGATGTCCTGGTAATGATTCTGGCAGCTGTATTTTGGAGGAGTTGAAGTTTATGAAGGAGTGTTGAGGATATGCCATATAACAGGGAATTAGAGTAATCTAACCTTGAGATGATATGTGATTGAGCTAGCATTTTAGTTGAATCTTGAGAAAGGTATCTGCGGAGTTTTCCAATCTGATGGAGATGGAAATTACCTGTTTTGCAAACTGCTGTTATTTGATTTTTCATTGTCATGTTGGAGTCAAAAACAACGCCCATATTCAGCACTTGTTTGCATGATGTTACTGGTGTATCTCCAATTCTGCATGTGATTTTAGAATCAGGTATCTTCTGTAGTTGTTGATGGGAGCCGACAAGAAGAACTTCAGTTTTCTCCTCGTTCAATTTAAGGAAGTTAATTTTCATCCAGTTGCAAACTTTATCAATGCATCTTCTAGTCTGACAAGTTCAGTGGTAATGCGGTTTGGTCTGGCAGCAATAAGGTTGTGTGTGTCATCAGCGTAGCCATGGAAAGGTATTCTGTAACTCGTGAAGACATCACCAAGAGGAATGATTTACATTGTGAAGAGCAGTGGGCCCAAAACCGATCCTTGACAAGGGCCATGGTTTAGATGTGGAGTTCCCGATTGTTACACACTGAGATCGAAGATGCAAATAGGACTTTAACCATGTAAGAACTGAACCTGTGACACCAAATCTGACTACTACTACTTCCACTACTACTACTACTACTACTACCACAACTACCACTACTACTATTACTACTACTACTACCACAACTACCACCACTACTACTATTACTACTACTACTACTACTACAACTACTACTACAACCACTACTACACCACTACTACTTCTACTATCACCAACGTTTGAAGCCCATTTCTGGTGTCCTGCGCGTGACATTGCTGGGATATTGCTAAAAGTGGCGTAACAACTAACTCACACACTCACTCTACCACTACTGCTACTACTACTACTACTACTACTACTACTACTACTACTACTACTACTATTACGACTATATATAACGGGTATGAAACAAGGACTGGCCGGCTCTGGGGTAATACCGTGTGTATGAAAGTGGGGTATAAATGTTATATACTAGGCACATAAAGAAACTGTGCATACAAAAATTTAAAATCTAAATTTATCAAACCTGTGTAGACACATAAGGATTTAAACTCAGAGATTAGTGACATGTATCCAACATGCATGCACGTGCCACGTTCCGTGACGTCACTGGGTTCGTCCTTGAGACGTGCAATACGTTGTTGCACGTGCATTACGGGGAAAGAGAAACAGAGTAAATGAATGCCACACAATACTGTCACTTTGGAAAGCTCATCCCCTGCCCTTGCGATCGTTCAAATAATTAAACGGCTATTGAAACACATAGCATGCCAAGGCTCACGTCTACACAACGTCATGAGGCCATTAGGATGGTCTGTGGGGGGAATGTCTCAACGACAAGTGGCTGCACATTTCCACTGCCATCGGAAGACCATTTCTGCACTGGTGAGACGCTACCAGAACACAAATGACGTCATCGATCGGTCACGTTCTGGACGTCCACGTGTAACAACGCCAAGACAGGACAGATGGATAAGGGTGACCCATCTTCGCCACAGGTTTCAGACTGCAGGGATGACTGCCCGAACCATCCCAGGACTTCGCCGTATCCACCCCAACACAGTTCGACAACGTTTACGTCATCACGGGATCAGACCACGACGTCCCGCCATACGGCCTATCCTGACACGACGTCATCGACAAGCTCGCCGAATGTGGTGCCGAAATCATGTCCGCAGGCCCTTGTTTTGGTGGAGAAATGTTGTTTTTACAGATGAGTCAAGGTTTAACATTTCCCATAGTGATGGACGTCAACGTGCCTATAGACACGTGGGAGAACGTTATGCACAGGCCTGTGTCTTGGAGAGGAATCGCTTTGGTGGTGGTTCCGTGATGATTTGGGGTGGAATAACAGCACGCCAAAGAACTCCTTTGGTGATTTTTCAGGGCAACGTAACTGGTGTGGGCTTCAGGGATCAGATTCTTCGACCTGTGGAAATTCCTTTTCTGCAACGTCATGACCCTGGGTTAACATTCCAACAGGACAATGCCCGCCCTCATACGGCAAGGGTTGCTATGGATTTCTTGCAACACCACAACGATGACTTACTGCCTTGGCCTGCAAATTCACCGGATCTCTCCCCGATAGAGTATGTTTTGGACGAGATGGATCGACGTCTACGCTGTCTTCCTCATCCGCCAGATAAGTCCTTGACCTTGCAACAGAACTTGAGAGAATCTGGCGTGACATCCCACAAGCCTTCCTAGCACGTTTGATAGGCTTTATGCGTCGTCGATGCACTGCTGTTCTCAATGCCGATGGTGAACATACTCGTTATTGAGCTTGTGACATGGTCGTTTGACCCCTGTCCCGCTTGTGGACTCGTGACGTCATTTTGATTGACTTTTCAATTGAAATTCTCCCGACTTGTTATGGTCTCATGATCCCTCCATTAAAGTTTATATGTACCTTTGACATTGTTATCGTACTTATCAACTGGGATAATATTTTGAGAATGCACAGTTTCTTTATGTGGTTATTATAAATTGGCATGGTGTAGCTTCCTGTTTGAGACTAGGATGGTTTCTGCAGCCTTCGTGAGAAAAGATAAACAATCCCCTCACCACGGAGCGGTGGGGGTAGCCTAATGGTCAAAGCGTACGCTCGTCACACTGAAGACCCATTTCTGGTGTCCCCCGCCGTGATATTGCTGGAATATTGCTAAAAGCGGCGTAAAAGCATGCTCACTCACACACTCAACTCTACCACCACCAGCACTTAAGCACTGTGTAGTATCTGATTTCTTCTGTCTGTCACGAACTTTTCGTGATAATTTTCGGGTGACACCAGGTGTCATCACTGATGCCCGTGAGTGAGTGAGTGAGTGAGTTAATGTGGTGTTCGCCTCTGTCTTCCATTCTGTCTACTCAGAGTCTATCATCCGGCGTCGACGTCTGTATTTTCAGAAACATTCACAATCTGAAAGTATTTTTTGTTTCACTGTAAAACAATCCTTAACACAGTTGGATAAACGGAATGATATCTCTGTTTTTCAGCTGGAACCCCGAGAAAGCCCTGGCGAAGAACTTGAAGGCGAGCGGCTACATGAAGGATGGCGAGGTAAGCATTGATGTGTTCTTGTACACAGAGCCCATGGGTGCCGTTGTACAAGACAACGACAGTCATTAGTTATGTTAAGGTATGGGAGTTACGATCACCTTAGCCCTAAGATCCCTTTGTACATACAGCCCGGTCACAAGTCAGTTTTGACAAACGTGGTCTCACCTTTGTCTAGTGAGTTTGTTCAAAATTGCCTCTGTTCATCCACCAGAAAGTGGGTACCCGGTGGGATAAGTTATATGACTGTTAACCCCAGTGTCTCATAATCAGTTTAGGTTAATAATGTCCATCATGTTTTATGCGCTTAGAACATACCTCTGCGGCGTGGAGTTCATCGCAACATAGGTGACCTTACTATTATCATTTTATTGTTTGAGGCAAGAATATTCCAGGTGTTATTGTCAAATCCGAAACAGAAATCAGGGTAAGGTGATACAAGCAACTGAGTCAGAGAGCATGTCCAGTTGACCTGTGCGGATGAAGACATGCCCATTCTGACAATACTCAACGCCTAGGTACAAACGTGTAATTTACTGCATGAAAGGACGTAACTTGCACAAATAATTGCAATCAATGACTTCTGGATAAATTGGAAGTGCAAATAGGCACGTCGCCTGTCACCAGGGAGGTAACTCTATACATATAACTCCACTCTCTGTGTCCAGGTGTTGTGAGAGAGATAACATGTCTCCTGTCAGAAGGGAGGTAACTCTATACTGATATCTCCACTCTCTGTGTCCAGGTGTTGTGAGAGAGCAAACATGTCTCCTGTCAGAAGGGAGCTGACTCTATACTGATAACTCCACTCTCTGTGTCCAGGTGTTGTGAGAGAGCAAACATGTCTCCTGCCAGAAGGGAGCTGACTCTATACTGATATCTCCACTCTCTGTGTCCAGGTGTTGTGAGAGAGCAAACATGTCTCCTGCCAAAAGGGAGCTGACTCTATACTGATAACTCCACTCTCTGTGTCCAGGTGTTGTGAGAGAGCAAACATGTCTCCTGCCAGAAGGGAGCTGACTCTATACTGATATCTCCACTCTCTGTGTCCAGGTGTTGTGAGAGAGCAAACATGTCTCCTGCCAAAAGGGAGCTGACTCTATACTGATAACTCCACTCTCTGTGTCCAGGTGTTGTGAGGGAGCAAACATGTCTCCTGTCAGAAGGGAGGTAACTCTTCACATATTACTCCGCTCCAAGGTAGAGTGAAGATGCTAACCTGAACAGACATAAGGACGTAACTCTACATTGTCAATCGCAGTCTTAACTCTAACGTATGAAGAATATAGTAAGTTGTACATTATCTGCCGGAAGGGAAGAAAGCCGACAAAAAAAGAACTACACTCAGTATGAAGTGCACCGAAGTTGTAAATGATATTCTGCCATGAATCAAGAAAATACTAGATTCTGATTGGTTGTTCAGAAAAATCAGACGGCATCAATTGTGGATTGACGCTCATCTGATTGTAAGGCCGCTTCACCGCGCATTGACAAAATCTTATTGTGAGAACTACATCCGTTTGACCACAATGATGGCGGATCATAACAACAACTCCATGGATTTTGATGCTGATTTTCGAACATTCCACATAGGCAATTGGAATTTTTTGGATTATAAATGCGTTTGATTTCATTGCGCTTCACTGCGCACGTATAGAACACTGCCGCACTACTTCAGCTTGACCACCAACATGACTAATATCAACACAACAGACGTAATGGAAATGCTAATAAAACATTTATTTAAACTTGAAAAATACAATTATATGATTCCCCCCCCCCCCCACACACACACAAACACACACAATTAGGAGGGAACCACACTATCATATTACCTTCTATTATAACAATATTCAAACTCAATTACAATACACAGCCCCAAACATAAACAAAACAATATCTAACATATAAATCAGAAAGCCTTGTAAAAATACATCTCTATCTATACAAAATATGCAGCAAAACATTAGTAAACATTTACCTACCTGGTAAATGGTATATTTAATTCCGTTTAGAATGGGAAATTTGCAAGATGGATCTGACGGTCTGGCGAAACACCACATTTATGCCACTCATAGTCATACTCCATCATATCCCGTTGCATCGTTCACAAAATAATTTTGATCTCTGTCAGCTTCCCTGCAAGGTTGTCACTGTTATGTTCATCCACTTTGAAAAACGCTTGGACACAGTCCAGTCCCAAACGATGAAAACAAAGTTCCAAGGAATAACAAGTTAGTCGCATATAGACAATTCTTAATGAGGCCTCATGAATATTCATATCTGTACCAAAACGAGGCTAAATGGGGCAAAGACACAATCGCATAATGGCGACAAATCTCAATGTATACTTCCTGGTTTCAAATTTCCCTTGAACGGTACATTACGAAACTGTCCAGTACTTCAGGGAAATCGCAGAGAAATGGGAAAGGGCTACAAACATGTTTCTGTAGCATATCCACGGATTGAAGGGTGAATAATTACTGTACATCACGACACATCACGATAAGTCATGTGACCTAGATATCTAGGTTAACGTTTACCATGTTGCGCAGCATTTATGAAGGGAAGCTACTCTAAAGTCACAATAGTGGAAATATTACCAAGGGAAGTCAATTACGTTTACTTTATCAACATATGAACAAAGCAAAAGACGTATTTCCTGACCTGGATTCAAATCATCCACTTCCACATGGGAGTAGTGTTGCTAATTCTTGAGCTGGATAATCGAGATTATAAGTAATATGTAGATCAAGATAGCTCTCCTCGAGTGGATCTGGACCAAACAAATTTGTTTGTATTATTCATGTGATGAAATTATTTGTTTGGTATTTTTCTGTTTAAAATGTTTTGTCCTATCGACTCTGTTTTATAGATATAGGGTATTTATTTACGCATTTATTTTCAGTTGTACTGGACTAGTGGTGATGGCGATGTGCGCGTAGCTGCATGTTACAATCGCAGAGGAAAAACGAATCGCCACATCATCATGTAGAAACTATTTATTTCAATCAACATGAGTGGGACACAATGTGCAAGACAAAACTGGATGATTTTTTTCAAGTTTTTTCTTGACTGATTTGGAGGTGAATAATTAATTTACCTAAATGGACAAGTGGTACCTCCATGGGGAATATTTGAACCAATTTTCAATACTGTGTTACTATACCATAAAATTGATTTATTGTAGATCAGGTGTATTTAGTCTGTACCACTGTAACTGAAGACATTTTTAAGGAGAACATATTATCAGATTAACATAACAGGATTCAGACTACAGCAAACAATTAACCCAAATAAATAACGAACACCTGGAGTGCAGTTAATAAAAAAATATTTTGAAATGGTGTCTTAAAAGTCCAATAACAATAGACACATTCACAATAGCTTCCAACTGTAATACTGATGAATAACAATAAAAATTTCAGAGGATGCAAATTGAAAATATATTGGGTGCAATATTTATGTTGATAGAAGTATCCTTTTAGATTAGTCTGACATAAATGGCAACAATTACAGCTGGATCAATGCATAATTTATCATAGTTTTCTCCCCTTACACATTATCATAATCTCTTACCTATGAATGATGTTTTTTTCTGATTCCCAACTAACTCTTTTCAAACAGGATGAAATACATTCTTTTTCATCATTAGTAATTAAACAGCAGCAAGTTACATCTACAACTATGCCATTATGAAAGACCTTTCTATTATTCAGTTAAATCCATCAATGTGTATGTATCTGTGTACAGCTGTCTCTTTTTTCATCAATCATTTACACAACACAAAAGCACCAAACAATTTCATTTACATTCATGTCTGTCAATTTTTGTGCTGTTTGGGCAAGGTACTTCACAAGACCTGGGAAGATATTTAACAAATGAAAAAGTTCCAGCTAATCAGAGCCAAACGTGAAATGATGGAATACTGTAAAATGTTCAATCAATTTTTATCATCATACATGAATTTACAAACTCCAAACTTTTCAAGTTCAAGTTTTCTGTTCAATTTGTCTATTTTGTCAACCTTTTCCTTGAGTTGCCTCCCCTGTTCATGTAAGTTTTGCTGGAGTTGTTCTATGTAGGACTGGGGTCAGTGGCTGCTGTATCACTATCTGCTTCACTGTAATATAAGCATTGTAAAGCATCACTTATCTCTTCGACCACACAAACAATAAATATATATCTGGAATTACAAATATACATCAAGGAATAGAGGCTAACATCATTTCATATTTTAGAAAGTATGGGCAATCAATATTTTTATATGTAAATATCATAGCATATAGGTCAAAGTTCAGTTGTATTAAATTCTTTAAAACCATGTCAGTTGGCAATATTAACTTAATACGATCTGACATTCTTACTGTATCTGAGATGGTGACTGTGGTAGATTCCTTATGGGAGGTTCCTGAGCTGGTGACATGCTCTCTGACTCTTAATTAGCACCATCTGAAATGGATATTTAAACACTAAATATATTTCAGTTGGTGTAACTAGATAGTCCAGTAATATGTCCTGTATCCCTGAAGTACTGGTCAGTATGCAGTAATTTTGAAAGTAGATACATATTTAAGATTTTTTTAACAGCATGTGTATGTCCTGCATATACAAATGTATATGTACTTGAAATGTTACTTTGATTTGCAGCCAATCTAATTTCACGGATACAGAATATTTGCAAATAAAATTCCCTTGCCATCATGACAAGAGTGTCTGCACATGTCCATATGCTTATTTTTTTTAATATATTGGACCGTACATAATTTATGACTAGGGGGGGTGATGATGATTTTAGGTTCGGTGTTTGTGGGGGGTAGGGGTGTCTCCCAGTTTGTTTTGGGGAGGCAGGGGAGGGTCAATTGTGTACATATGAACTAGGGGGATCACTGATTTTGAACATGACAATGTGTGTGTGGGGTGGGGTGGGGTTTTGAATGTGTCTGTGTGTGTGTGACATTCACATTGTACATGTGCCCCTGATATTAAAATCTTGCATAGTGAACAGTCTGTACATTACACGGCAGATCTAGACTATGCCATGTGCCGTAATTATTTTGTACTTACTATGAATCATTTTCCAGGATCTCTCCGTATTTTCGTCAACCACTGCCTTCTTCTGATCTTATTCTTGGAAATATGGTGAAAAGATACCGTAAACTCCTTACGGGCATCACTCCAACGCAAAGGCACACAGCAGTAATCTTTCCTTTTCGAGGTCGACATTTTCAAGGTTGGGTCAACCTATTTAAGCCTCGCTTTCGATTTGACCTCGAGGTCATGCATATTGGCTAAGAATGGCAGTACGTGAAATCATGATCGGCCGGTCATAAAAATCAACAGTCTTTGATGAGTTACAGGTCGTAGGTTGATCAGGAAAGGATCTATTCTTCGATTCTGCAGGGTTCAGATTCAACAGTCAGTCAAGTATTGTCCACTGTCACTTCAAATTTCAACCTTTCGCAAAATGTAAACACTGGCTCGTCCGCCATTTCAAACTGTTGCGTAACTGTCTACTTTGAAGAAAATAAGTAGGTCAGACGATTCCATTATAGTGTGGCCAGGGGGGTACAGTTTCACGGCACACAAAACAATAGTCTGGTTTTAGTCGTGTGGAGTTGGGATGAAAAAAAACCCAAGCTCTCGGGTATTACATAATTGCATTGAATAAACAGTAGTTTGATTTCTTTGGACAGAATATTGTTATGTTGTAATGCTAAAAAAATACGAACGGCACCTACCGCTCCCTTCACAGACGAGTTCAATTCGCCTCTCGTCCCATGCCGGATTACGCAGTGTCTTCCGCAGAGCGAGGAAGTTCGATTATAAATGGGCCATGGTAGAATGGAGCTAAACCTAGTGCGTTTGAAAATCAGAGACATGCTTTACTGAATTGAGGCGACTAAATATTTCAATTGAAACCTCACGCTACGCGTTCGGTTCCAATTGAAATTTAATTTAAGTTATTAATTGAAATATTTAGTCGCCTCAATTCAGTAAAGCATGTCTCTGATTTTCAAACACACTAGGTTTATCTCCTAAATATAAGGTTGTAAGGACACAACTCGCCACAGCCTGTTGGAGTAAACGAGTGCAATTCTCTGTACAGAGGTATTTGGCTTATTGGGGAAATCCCACCTGGTTGTGGCTTAATGATGAACTAGGACTTTTAGCGTGTAGTTCTGTATTGAGTTAAATCCTGTATCCCATTACATTCGTTAAGGTTCCAAAATTTGCAATACGTAATAATATTCTGCCATTCTGCATTCTAGAAGACGATCGTGCCATCTCCTATGGAGGCTGTACATGACGTTGGGCAAGTCCGGGACTTCCAGGAAGAGTTTGAAGGATTCTATTATAACTTTGACACTTCGTATCTATCCTTGTATGGAATCGAGGAAGTGCACACCCTTAAGATGGGCTCCATGAGATACAAGGTATGTGTCCATACCCTGTGTGGGATTTATGAGATACAAGGTATGTATCTATACCCAGGGTGAGATGAATGAGATACAAGGTATGTATCTATACCCAGGGTGAGATGAATGAGATACAAGGTATGTATCTATACCCAGGGTGAGATGAATGAGATACAAGGTATGTATCTATACCTAGGGTGAGATGAATGAGATACAAGGTATGTATCTATACCCAGGGTGAGATGAATGAGATACAAGGTATGTATCTATACCCAGGATGAGATGTATGAGATACAAGGTATGTATCTATACCCAGGGTGAGATGAATGAGATACAAGGTATGTATCTATACCCAGGGTGAGATGAATGAGATACAAGGTATGTATCTATACCCAGGGTGAGATGAATGAGATACATATAGAATCTCACCCAAGTGTCTTCTGATATCAATTATATCAACACGAGTTGATAAAGTTACAAATATCCGAGGCTTGCCGAGGATATTTTAACTTTATCAACGAGTGTTGATATTTGATATCAGAAGACACGAGGGTGAGATTCTATTTATCATCCAAAATCACTTTTCATTAATTTTCAATGAAATATGCACATCTCTCAACACGGTACTGCCATTACACTTGCAGTGCAGTGATGTCATAGCATTGTGACGTCATCAAGTACATGACGTCATAGCATTGTCAGGGCATTGTACAAAATCTACTGTCAAAACGATATCTCCTAGGAGATATCGTTTGATCTCACACAAGCGATATCTCCTGTGGAACACAGTTTTGGATGATAAAAGGTATGTATCTATACCCAGGGTGAGATGAATGAGATACAAGGTATGTATCTATACCCAGGATGAGATGAATGAGATACAAGGTATGTATCTATACCAGGGTGAGATGAATGAGATACAAGGTATGTATCTATACCCAGAAGGTGAGATGAATGAGATACAAGGTGAGATGTATCTATACCCAGGGTGAGATGAATGAGATACAAGGTATGTATCTATACCCAGGGTGAGATGAATGAGAGGTATACAAGGTATGAATACTATAGCCAGGGTGAGATGAATGAGATATACAAGGTATGTATCTATAGCCAGGGTGAGATGAATGAGATACAAGGTATGTATCTATACCCAGGGTGAGATGAATGAGATACAAGGCATGTATCTATACCCAGGGTGAGATGAATGAGATACAAGGTATGTATCTATACCCAGGGTGAGATGAATGAGATCTATACCCGAGGGTGAGATGAATGAGATACAAGGTATGTATCTATACCCAGGGTGAGATGAATGATGAGATACAAGGTATGTATCTATACCCAGGGTGAGATGAATGAGATACAAGGTATGCATCTATGCCTATAGGGTGAGATGAATGAGATACAAGGTATGTATCTATACCCAGGGTGAGATGAATGAGATACAAGGTACATGTATCTATACCCAGGGTGAGATGAATGAGATACAAGAGTATGTATCTATACCCAGGGTGAGATGTATGAGATACAAGGTATGTATCTATACCCAGGGTGAGATGAATGAGATACAAGGTATGTATCTATACCCAGGGTGAGATGAATGAGATACATATAGAATTCATCCAGAAGTGTCTTCTGATATCAATTATATCAACACGAGTTGATAAAGTTACAACATATCGAGGCTTGCCGAGGATATTTAACTTTTATCAACGAGTGTTGATATCAACATTTGATATCAGAAGACACGAGGGTGATTCTATTTATCATCAAAATCACTTTTCATTAATTTCCTAAATGAAATATGCACATCTCTCTGCCATTACACTTGCAGTGCAGTGATCAAAACGTCATACATTGTCAGGCATTGTACAAAATCTACTGTCAAACGATATCCTGAAATCGTTTGATCTCACATCTCTCACACAGTTTGGATGATAAAAGGTATGTATCTATACCCAGGGTGAGATGAATGAGATACAAGGTATGTATCTATACCCAGGGTGAGATGTGAGATACAAGGTATGTATCTATACCCAGGGTAGAGATGAATGAGATACAAGGTATGTATCTATACCCAGGGTGAGATGAATGAGACAAGGTATCATCATACCCAGGGTGAGATGAATGATACAAGGTATGTATCTATACCCAGGGTGAGATGAATGAGATACAAGGTATGTATCTATAGCCAGGGTGAGATGAATGAGTACAAGGTATGTATCTATACCCAGGGTGAGATGAATGAGATACGAGGTATCTATACCCAGGGTGAGATGAATGGAGATACAAGGTATGTATCTATACCCAGGGTGAGATGAATGAGAGATATAGAATCTCACTCCAGTGTCTTTCTGATATCAATGATATCAACACGAGTTGATAAAGTTACAAATATCCGAGGCTTGCCGAGACTTTTATCAACGTTTGATATCAAGAAGACACGAAGATTCTATTTATCATCCAAAATCACTTTCATTAATTTTCAATGAAATATGCACATACTGCCATTACACTTGCAGTGATGTCATAGCATTGTGACGTCACATGACGTCATAGCATTGTCAGGGCATTGCATACAAAATCTACTGTCAAAACGATATCTCCTAGGAGGGGTGAATATCCTAGGAGATATCGTTTGATCTCACACAAGCGATATCTCCTGTGAGCCACAGTTTTGGATGATAAAAGGTATGTATCTATACCCAGGGTGAGATGAATGAGATACAAGGTATGTATCTATACCCAGGGTGAGATGAATGAGATACAAGGTATGTATCTATACCCAGGATGAGATGAATGAGATACAAGGTATGTATCTATGCCCAGGGTGAGATGAATGAGATACAAGGCATGTATCTATACCCAGGATGAGATGAATGAGATACAAGGTATGTATCTATACCCAGGGTGAGATGAATGAGATACAAGGTATGTATCTATACCCAGGATGAGATGAATGAGATACAAGGTATGTATCTATACCCAGGGTGAGATGAATGAGATACAAGGTATGTATCTATACCCAGGGTGAGATGAATGAGATACAAGGTATGTATCTATACCCAGGGTGAGATGAATGAGATACAAGGTATGTATCTATACCCAGGGTGAGATGAATGAGATACAAGGTATGTATCTATACCCAGGGTGAGATGAATGAGATACAAGGTATGTATCTATACCCAGGGTGAGATGAATGAGATAGATATAGAATCTCACCCAAGTGTCTTCTGATATCAATTATATCAACACGAGTTGATAAAGTTACAAATATCCGAGGCTTGCCGAGGATATTTTAACTTTTATCAACGAGTGTTGATATATTTGATATCAGAAGACACGAGGGTGAGATTCTATTTATCATCCAAAATCACTTTTCATTAATTTCCAATGAAATATGCACATCTCTCAACACGGTACTGCCATTACACTTGCAGTGCAGTGATGTCATAGCATTGTGACGTCATCAAGTACATGACGTCATAGCATTGTCAGGGCATTGTACAAAATCTACTGTCAAAACGATATCTCCTAGGAGATATCGTTTGATCTCACACAAGCGATATCTCCTGTGGAACACAGTTTTGGATGATAAAAGGTATGTATCTATACCCAGGGTGAGATGAATGAGATACAAGGTATGTATCTATACCCAGGGTGAGATGAATGAGATACAAGGTATGTATCTATACCCAGGGTGAGATGAATGAGATACAAGGTATGTATCTATACCCAGGGTGAGATGAATGAGATACAAGGTATGTATCTATACCCAGGGTGAGATGAATGAGATACAAGGTATGTATCTATACCCAGGGTGAGATGAATGAGATACAAGGTATGTATCTATAGCCAGGGTGAGATGAATGAGATACAAGGTATGTATCTATACCCAGGGTGAGATGAATGAGATACAAGGTATGTATCTATACCCAGGGTGAGATGAATGAGATACAAGGTATGTATCTATACCCAGGGTGAGATGAATGAGATACATATAGAATCTCACCCAAGTGTCTTCTGATATCAATTATATCAACACGAGTTGATAAAGTTACAAATATCCGAGGCTTGCCGAGGATATTTTAACTTTTATCAACGAGTGTTGATATATTTGATATCAGAAGACACGAGGGTGAGATTCTATTTATCATCCAAAATCACTTTTCATTAATTTTCAATGAAATATGCACATCTCTCAACACGGTACTGCCATTACACTTGCAGTGCAGTGATGTCATAGCATTGTGACGTCATCAAGTACATGACGTCATAGCATTGTCAGGGCATTGTACAAAATCTACTGTCAAAACGATATCTCCTAGGAGGGGGGTGAGATATCCTAGGAGATATCGTTTGATCTCACACAAGCGATATCTCCTGTGGAACACAGTTTTGGATGATAAAAGGTATGTATCTATACCCAGGGTGAGATGAATGAGATACAAGGTATGTATCTATACCCAGGGTGAGATGAATGAGATACAAGGTATGTATCTATACCCAGGATGAGATGAATGAGATACAAGGTATGTATCTATACCCAGGGTGAGATGAATGAGATACAAGGTATGTATCTATACCCAGGATGAGATGAATGAGATACAAAGGTATGTATCTATACCAAGGGTGAGATGAATGAGATACAAGGTATGTATCTATACCCAGGATGAGATGAATGAGATACAAGGTATGTATCTATACCCAGGGTGAGATGAATGAGATACAAGGTATGTATCTATACCCAGGGTGAGATGAATGAGATACAAGGTATGTATCTATACCCAGGTGAGATGAATGAGATACAAGGTATGTATCTATACCCAGGGTGAGATGAATGAGATACAAGGTATGTATCTATACCCAGGGTGAGATGAATGAGATACAAGGTATGTATCTATACCCAGGATGAGATGAATGAGATACAAGGTATGTATCTATAGCCAGGGTGAGATGAATGAGATACAAGGTATGTATCTATACCCAGGGTGAGATGAATGAGATACAAGGTATGTATCTATACCCAGGATGAGATGAATGAGATACAAGGTATGTATCTATAGCCAGGGTGAGATGAATGAGATACAAGGTATGTATCTATACCCAGGGTGAGATGAATGAGATACAAGGTATGTATCTATACCCAGAGTGAGATGAATGAGATACAAGGTACCTACCAACACTCAGAGTGGGCTCCATGAGATACACCCCACCTTCACACGAAAATAACTAGTATACATTTCCCAACTCCCAATCCACTGGCATATTTCCAGAAATGCTTGAGTTCTGAATCTGGGTATGTGTCATCCTCAGGGCTTCTGCGCTGCGAACCTGAGCCTGATGAAACTTGGTCTTTACAGTACCACCCCCCACAAGCTGCTGCATGAGGACTCTGACGCCTTCACGTGGGTATGTAGCCATGAAATATACACTTGAACATGCCATGTAGGCAGGCACTCATATACACAAGTACCTTTTAAAAAGTACGATATTAATGATCAGAGCAATGGGTATTAATGTGCTTTTCTACAGTACCATAAAAGTGGCACATGCAATATTTGCCGAAGAACATTTCACTGTGGGTGTATTTGTGGCAGGATACGCTCTTCTTCATGCGAGCACCTGGTATGAACACAACTTGACTATGATAACAAAACACATTCTCATGATATTGTTTGAAATTGTACAAAAGAGAGTTTGATGATAATGGAATTAAGCCTAAAAGTTTACACAGTTTTAGGATAGGTGTTTTTATATCCACGGCAAAATTCTTCAGTTTGGTGCATGCAGTCAAATCTATGGTCTCTTTACAGAAATCAGAACATGTGTTTGTATTCACGACTTGCTATTGAATAGGGATGCTATTTGATCAAGTTGTTCTTGAAGCTGGACATACTAGTGCAATGATTACTAGCATGTGACAAGATATGGCTGGCACACTGCCAGATACCTACCTTGATCATTATTCAGGATTTGTGTAATGTTTGTATAACAGAGAAACTACATGTGTTACGAGTTTGGGCTGAACGAAAACGTCACAGATGAAGTCCTGGAGTCAAAGGTCAACGAGCGACTATCGCCAGGTCAAATAGAGGTTATCAGAAGGTGTGTCTATACGGGGAAGGTCCATGCTGGATGTGATGCTCTCAACAAATGGAATTGTTTTGGTGGTCATTACTACTCATTTGATTTGAAGGTCGTCATGAAAAAAAGTAATTTGAAGGTCGTTATGAAGTAGATATTTTTGGAGGTGGTTATTGATCACAAGAATTTGTTGGTCGATATGATTCATACTTGATGACTAGTGACCTCAGACATAGATCCCAGCATACCGGTCGGTTCTTTAGTCTGAAGAATTCCTACTATCGTTGGTTGTATTATTAATTTCGGAAATTGTCCATTCCTATCATGGCCTCATGGTTTGAGATTTAAATTTTTTTCTTAAAACGAACTTGCTTACAAATAATCATAAACATGGCCAATCATGGATGGGAAACAGTGATCAGAGTATTGTGACAACTGACTGATTAATCCGTCTACCCTGTATTTCAATCAGGAATATTATACTCCCTATTAAAACTTTGACTCACTAGTGTAAATGTAACCACTTACTTCAGTCAACTGTTCTAAACTAGATTTTCCAAAATATTCCATACTGTTCAAAGGTACTGTTTACACATGAACTGATGTATTGTAAAACAAATTCGTAGCGTTGAAAAGATTATTGTCATGAGTACAAAAAATCATGAAACTAAGTGAAAATTGGTGAATTCTAATCAAATCTTTACACCAAAACGCAGCTGTTCATCCGCACAATATTTACACATGCTTTTCAGCAATTTGATGCATGATCCTCACGCAGTTCACCTGCACAAGGTTTGCAGTTGGTTCCCCTATGTTAGTAGAGAAATTCATTTTCGATGTAACCACATATATGTTCATAACATATAATGAATGCTTTAAACGAGTCTAAACTTTTGATGGGGAGTATGTAGACTGCATAGCTGCTGTATAAAGGTTACATGTTTTGAAACATCAAGTGTACCCTTCACATTGTCTACTTTGCAGTCTTGGCTTGCTAGGATCTGAAGAAATCAAGAAGATTTCAACACCATTTAAAACGCTTGTCCATCACCTTGCATCACGCCCTGACTTTAAATATGGTAGGTATGGTATGGTGGGGTATGGCTTCGACTTTAAAATGTTCATGGTACGGTATGGTGAGTTATGGCTTTGACAATGTTCATGATAGGCATGGTGAGTTAAGCCTAAGATCTCGTAACCTTTCTCGTAGCATTCGTACCCCCTATACTGTAACATAGGAGGTACGAATGCTACGAGAAAAGTTACGAGATCTTAGGCTTATGAGAGCTTTGTGAACCTGGGCCCTGACAATCCAGTGATCAACAGCATGGATCTACGCAGGTGGGAACCGATGTCAATCAAGTCAGCGATGCTGACCACCCGCTATCAGCATCTACACAGACTGATACTTTCACTATAAGGTTTCACCCATTATACTGCGATTATTCTTTCACTATGAGGTTTTGCCATTATACTGCGATTAATTCTTTCACTATAAGGTTTTGCCATTATACTGCGATTAATTCTTTCACTATAAGGTTTTGCCATTATACTGCGATTATTCTTTCACTATAAGGTTTTGCCATTATACTGCGATTATTCTTTCACTATGAGGTTTTACAACATCTACAGTATAATTTCACTATAAGGTTTTACATTTATTTAGAGGGGATGGTTTCACTGTGATGTTTTAAATTTCACTCTGACGTTTTACAGTTATACTGTAGTGATATTTTTACAGTTGGTTTGCAGTTGGTCTGATGTACTACCGCATCGTCTGTCTATTAATCTGTGACATAGATTGGTCTGCTGTTGATCTGATGTACAGTCACGTCGCCTGTCTATTAATCTGTGACATAGATTGGTCTGCTGTTGATCTGATGTACAGTCACGTCGCCTGTCTATTAATCTCTGACATAGATTGGTCTGCTGTTGATCTGATGTACAGTCACGTCGCCTGTCTATTAATCTGTGATATAGATTGGTCTGCTGTTGATCTGATGTACAGTCACGTCGCCTGTCTATTAATCTGTGACATAGATTGGTCTGCTGTTGATCTGATGTACAGTCACGTCGCCTGTCTACTTGATCTGTGACATAGATTGGTCTGCTGTTGATCTGATGTACAGTCACGTCGCCTGTCTACTTGATCTGTGACATAGATTGGTCTGCTGTTGATCTGATGTACAGTCACGTCGCCTGTCTATTAATCTGTGACATAGATTGGTCTGCTGTTGATCTGATGTACAGTCACGTCGCCTGTCTACTTGATCTGTGACTTTAGCTTATCTGCAGTTGGTCTGATGTACAGTCACGTAGTCTGTCTACTTGATCTGTGACATAGGTTGGTCTTCAGCTGGTCTGAGGTACAGTCATTTCGTCTGTCTACTTGATCTGTGATATAGGTTGGTCTGCAGTTGGTCTGAGGCACAGAAACGTCGTCTGTCTACTTGATCTGTGACATAGTTTGGTCTGCAGCTGGTTGGATGTGCAGTGTTAATAAGAGGTTTGGGTTGTGTAGCGTCAATTCAGCAAGTGTGATTAATACACATTCAGACTCCGCCGACCGAGACATGGTTCTGATGGACATCAAGGTGACCGGAAGCTTCCCTGACGGACACAGCGAGTCCCGGAAGATGGAGATGACAGTGTTTGGAGAAGCTGGAAACAACTCAGCCACGTCCAAAACTGTGGGTCACTGTGCAGCCACAGCCGCCATGATGATACTGAATGGTAGGCAGTGAGGCTGGTGGGTGAGTGGGTGAGTGAGTGAGTGAGTGAGCTTTGATCGAGGTGAGCGAGGCGAGCGTGCGGCCCGGCAGGTTTTGGGTTGCGGGTGTTTGGGTGCGTGAGTGAGTGATGTTTTAAGCCAGCGTTAGCAATATTCTAGCAATATCGCGGCATCTGAATTTACTCATTGTGACCATGTGAGAATCGAAATCGGGTCCTGTGTAGATCGACAAACGCTTTACCCATGAGGCTATATCGACCCTGGCAGGCGGTTGAGCCACAAACAATACGAGAAAAGACTTACAGTAGTGTCAAATTGTCGTATATATCCAAGCATAAATGTACCGTAATATCTAAGTTTGATAAAACATCTGAATGATAAACCTGTCGCTCTTTCAGGGGAGATAACTCTGAGGGGCGTCATCGCTCCTATCGTGCCCGAACTCTACAAACCCATGCTGAAGAACCTGCAGGGGAAGGGGATCAATATTGTGACCAAATAGTGCAAGGGCATACCAGTCGATCATTAGAGAAGAAAGCAGATAACAGTTCATGGATAACAGATCTTAGCAGGCCTAACACCACGTAACAAATATCTCGCACCTTTCTCACACAGCACATGCTAACTTTGCGTGTATTACACCCTCATCGCGTTCAGTTTTAAAACTGTTGTAATCAGTTTTATAGTGAAATACTGTTGTACAACTTTACTGTTGTAATCAGTGTTATAGTGAAATAGTGTTGTACAACTTTACGGATTGCAATCAGTTTCATTGTGAAATACTGCTGTACAACTTAACTGTTTCGGACAGTTTCATTGTGACATGCTGTTGTACAACCTTACTGTTTCGGACAGTTTCATTGTGACATGCTGTTGTACAACTTTACTGTTTCGGACAGTTTCATTGTGACATGCTGTTGTACAACTTTACTGTTGCGGACAGTTTTATTGTGACATGCTGTTGTACAACTTTACTGTTGTGGACAGTTTTATTGTGACATGCTGTTGTACAACTTTACTGTTGCAATGAGTTTTCTGGTGAAATACTGTTGTATAGCTTTGCTGTTGTACAACTGTACCATATATTATATTTGGGATTACACTTTGTTAGGAAAGTATAGATTCTTGTACTTTCTTGGCTGAGTCCCATCCGGGATTCGAACCCTACCGTGAGAGTGAGGCACCTAATAGATTGTTGTACGACTGTGCTGGGACCAGATCAGTTGGGAAAAGACAGAAGACACGAGTAAGACTATGACTATACAAGCTATTGTCATGTATAGTCCATGTGCTTATATTAATGACGTTCATAACAGAGGTATGGCATTATGAACTCGGCTGTTTTTAAACTCAAACACTGACTTATACATTCATTCGCACATAGAATTGCTCACATTCTGTACTTAACATAAAATGGGTTGACTATACACACTTCAAAACAAAAATATTGGTTGAATATAGACACTTCAAAACAAAATGGGTTGACTACAGACACTTCAAAACATAAATTGGGTTGAATATAGACACTTCAAAGCATAAAATGGGTTGAATATAGACACTTCAAAGCATAAAATGGGTTGAATATAGACACTTCAAAGCGTAAAATGGGTTGAATATAGACACTTCAACACATAAATTGAGTTGAATATAGACACTTCAAAACAAAATGGGTTGACTACAGACACTTCAAAGCATAAAATGGGTTGAATATAGACACTTCAAAGCATAAAATGGGTTGAATATAGACACTTGAAAACATGAAATGGGTTGACTATAGACACTTCGAAACATAAAATGAGTTGAACATCGACATTTCAAAAGGTAAATCTAAGAAATCAAGAATTGTCCTACGGATTACGTCAAGATCACTGAGCTTCAGAAATCGACATATCTACATCAGTTAGTTCACGGTAGAACATCCACATAGTATAGAACTAACTTTGTTGGAGTTTGCTGTAGGCAATATTTCTTTACATGATATACCTGTTGTGGATATAATTTTTAAGTGATAAGAATTTAGGGTTGTTTTCAAAACTTTCAGAGAAAAAGAATGTAGCAAAGAGCATAAGTAGGTGAAACACATCTGTAAATATATCTTCGGACAAAACAGAACATATTGTAAGTCCAGTTTCAAATTATGGATATGTTGATAAAAAGACCTAATAGTTATTGCCAGAAGCATTTAACTTGTTTTCAGCTCTAAAATAAGATTATTTGTTGTAGCTTCACACTGACAAAAAGAACATAAATTACTCTCAGTTGATTTCATACAGAAACAATATAGAACACACTTTATGGATAACAACTTCTTTTTATTCGTGAGTGCGACGTTTCGATACAGATTCTCGTACCGTTGTCAAGCATAATGGAACATGAAGGGGTGGGGGGTTGGGGAGTATCAAATCAGCCGTCTCCTAAAACAACAAGCTGACATAGATACCACCTTCTCCGCGTCCTCCAGCCTTAACAACATTCTCCATGCCAATGGAAGAAAACCCGCCACCGTAAAGAACAACAACCCAAAATGTGTCATCTACAGAATAAACTGTGATTGTGGGCAGAGCTACATAGGCGAAACTTCCCGACCCATCAACACCCGAGTGAAAGAACATCAGACCTCTTTTACCAATTCCGACCACATCAAAGCAAGCCCCAATCATCAAATAGAGTGGTCTGACATCACCATTCTCTCTAAAAAACAAACAGACTTCACTAAACGCAAGCTCACCGAAGCCATCCACATCAAACGCCAAAAGCCCACCATCAACCGAGAACAAGGATACTTCATTCCATCCGCTTATGATGCACTCATCCACCAAGCCCAATCTACTGTATAAACATCTCATTATTATTTGTACATCATTGGCTTCCACGCCTGTCCTTTGTCTACTCTCTGGCTTCATCAGCTTTCTGCCTAGCCAATTATGTTAATTATGTTGTTTTCTTTGTTACATTGTTACATCCAGCATATATATACTTCCCCCCCTCTTCATGTTACATTATGCTTGACAGCGGTACAAGAATCTGTTTCGAAACGTCGCTCTCACGAATAAAAAGAAGTTGTTATCCATAAAGTGTGTTCAATATTGTACTTCCCAACTTCTAAAATGGCACTCAAAGAAGTCATACAGAAACGGTTGATAAAATCCTGTGTATAATTCATAAGTGAAACCATTTCCGCGTGCCATGTACAGGAGTTGTAAGTGGTTTCAGAAATATATTTTCCCAGTTTAATTCAGAGAGAACACATTCTTCTAACTTACATTTACATTTATAGCGAACATCACATGCGTTCAACTGATTCAACAATTTCCTGTCAACAGGATTATCACCTAGTTGAGCAAGGCATGTGGGTGTACTTGTTTTCATGTTATCATTGATAATAAAGGAACTTACTAAAGGTGATGTCGTGGGCGTAAAAGGCAGGTCCAGTTATAAAGACATTAAAGATTCAGGCTGATTTCATAACGAAAATAAACAAACGCAGAGACAGCATCCAAGGAAAAGACATTATTGAGTTTCTAAACCCTTGCCACATATGTCTAGATCTGGACAGTGAGGAAAGCAGTAAGAAGGCATTGTTTCAAGTTAGTCATTTGTCATGTAAAACCGTTTCCTTATCCGGGATAGCGTCTTTGAATTTACAGATGCATAAAACTTCAACCATTCCAAGACCACCCTCCGTCACAGGATTACAAATTAATAATCTTTTAATTTTATCCAGTTCCAAACTCTTAAAAAAAAAATTAAATAACTTTTTATTCAACTCCTTCAGGAAATTACAAAGGGGGTTAATGAGTGCGAGAAAAAGATATTTCGAATTGGAAATGAGTAAACCTTTCAAATAACAATTCTAACAAGGGGAGTATGTGCTTATTGATTAATCAATTTAAAAAAAGCTGACTTTCAAAACTCTGAGAGCCATGTTTCTTAAATCTGTTTAAGCAAAAATTCATTGTAACGTAACATATTCTGGAATCCACACAATGTTTATACACTTGGCAAATACCTCCCTGCACTATTCCTCCTTGCACCTATCCGTATTGCTTGAGATCTGTCATAAATGATTTTTAAGCCTGACATAACAGCAAACACGTTCACTATGACAGCTGCAGTTTCTCGAGAATCGTCTGTATCGTCTGCACACTCTTTCGTCTGCATACTGCAACATCTGCATACTGTATCGTCCGCATACTGTATTGTCCGCATAATGTATCGTCCGCATATGGTATCGTCTGCATAGTCTATCGTCTGCATACAAAAATACTTTTTGTTTGTTTTTTGGAGTCCTTTTACATTCAAGGAATTCAGTGAGAATTTCAACACACAAGATAAAATGTAAAGGGACAGATCACCTACAACCATGTTTAATACAAACACAATATGACATTCATAACGAAAGAAGATTTTGAACTATTAAACTCCACGCTAGAGCATAATGTGTAGTCCCAATCATTTTTATCTTATTCACGACCATTACATAAAATTCAAGTTCCACTTCCACTTAACGGTACACTCTGTACTGGTGAGAAACATATACCAGTATACTGATTGATACCCTTAAGCACGCAGGTGCACTCACACACACTATGGATATATACTATATACTGATATGACTGATATATCAAAATATAAATATGTATGAGTAATAAATAAAAATGCCTACATTCAAAAGATAATATATTTGTTTCATTAAAGTTACAGCCGGATTTTCATGTGTTTGTTTTGACAGTCAGTTGGAAAATGAGGTGTGGGCTCTGTCACTGAGTGAGTGAGTAAATAAAGGAGAGTGAGCGAGTGCAAGGCTGTTTGTACGAGTGTCTTAGACGTGGGGTGGGGTATTAGGACGAGGCCCTATTGTCCCTTGATACTTGTAAGGAGCATGCACACTACATCTGCCAGTCTTCCTGTTCACATGGTTGTACAGGTTGACTTGACCAGTGGATTCCACATCTGCCAGTCTTCCTGGTCACATGGTTGTACAGGTTGACTTGACCAGTGGATTCCACATCTGTCCGTCTTCATGGTCACATGGTTGTACAGGTTGACTTGACCAGTGGATTCCACATCTGCCAGTCTTCATGGTCACATGGTTGTACAGGTTGACTTGACCAGTGGATTCCATATCTGCCAGTCTTCATGGTCACATGGTTGTACAGGTTGACTTGACCAGTGGATTCCACATCTGCCAGTCTTCATGGTCACATGGTTGTACAGGTTGACTTGACCAGTGGATTCCACATCTGCCAGTCTTCATGGTCACATGGTTGTACAGGTTGACTTGACCAGTGGATTCCACATCTGCCAGTCTTCAGGGTCACATGGTTGTACAGGTTGACTTGACCAGTGGATTCCACATCTGCCAGTCTTCATGGTCACATGGTTGTACAGGTTGACTTGACCAGTGGATTCCACATCTGCCAGTCTTCATGGTCACATGGTTGTACAGGTTGACTTGACCAGTGGATTCCACATCTGCCAGTCTTCATGGTCACATGGTTGTACAGGTTGACTTGACCAGTGGATTCCACATCTGTCTGTCTTCATGGTCACATGGTTGTACAGGTTGACTTGACCAGTGGATTCCACATCTGCCTGTCTTTCTGGTCACATGGTTGTACAGGTTGACTTG